TCTCCTTTTCAGATTGCCCTAGCTGCAAATTTATAATGGAGCATCTGTGTCTGGAAAATTTTTCCCCATAAGTATTGACGGGTTTGAATTTCTTTTCATGTAAATTTCCAGGGTTTACGGAGAATTGGAAAGTGAACAAAAAAAAGGCGTTCAAGTGGGGCTGTCGATTGAAGATGCTCGTCTTGATGCGTTACTACAGTGAGGGAGAGAATGTGGAAAGATTCCGCTTTCATCTTCAAGTCGGCCGTTATATAATTTTCGAATGTGCCGAGCCTAATGTTATGTGGTAGACAAATAAACTAGCCTATAACTTATTTGGTTAACTTATATGCTGCCCTCAGTATTCAAATAAGTCTCGTTTGGTAGGACGAGTTTTTTTTTAAAAAACTCGAGTTTATCTGATAAGCTTCTTTAGGTAGCTTTTCAAATAAGCTAGTTGAATTTTTTTATCTCAGCTAATAATTTTCGAATATGTTGAGCCTAATGTTATGTGGTAGACAAATAAACTAGCCTATAACTTATCTGGTTAGCTTATATGCTGCCCTCAGTATTCAAATAAGTCTCGTTTGGTAGGACGAGTTTTTTTTAAAAAACTTGAGTTTATTTGATAAGCTTCTTCAGGTAGCTTTTCAAATAAGCTAGTTGAATTTTTTTATCTCAGCTAGCTTATTAGCTAATTTTACCAAACACTTTTATCATATAAGCTAGCTTTTCAGCTATAGGTCATAAACTATAAGTTTGTATGTTTGGTAAAATTAGCTGATAAGCTAGCTTTTCAGCTATAGGTCATAAACTATAAGTGTGTATGTTTGGTAAAATTAGCTGATAAGCTAGCTTATAGCTTATCAGTAATTTTTTAGCTTATAGCTTATAACTTATGACTTATAGCTGAAAAACTAGTTTATATGATAAAAAAGTGTTTGGTAAAATTAGCTGATAAGCTAGTTGGAATAAAAAAAATTCAACTAACTTATAAAAGTTACTTAAAGAAGCTAATCAAATAAACTCGAGCTCTTAAAAAAAGCTCGTCCTACCAAAAGAGACTTATTTGAATACATGGAACTTATAAGCTAAACAAAAGGCTATAAGCTAGCTTATTTGTCTACCAAACATAGCATAAGCTAAAAAAATTACTGATAAGCTATCAGCTAGTTTTACCAAACATAGCCTAAGTGGCAGGCTCACATGCTTCAAGATCCTAGGTGTCAAAATTTCATGCTTCATTATTTGGCTTGGATATATTTTAATTTAATTCAAATACAAAAATAATTGGGTCCGAATTACAATAAGTATGTTGATTTATTTATGTATATTCTAGATGTATTAATTGTATTTTAATATTATTTTCTATAATAACCATTGAATTGCAAATCTATGTTAAATGTTGATAACTTTTGTATTTTCTTATCGATTTTTATATAATATATCGAATTAATCATCTTTTAATGAATTTCGATTTGAAATGCATATTGTATATATAAACTAAATAAATTATATTATCTTTATAATAATAGTAAAATTATTTTTTGAAAGTAAATAAAAAATTAAAATTAGTTCTCAATTAATATATTTATGTTTAATGTAGTTATATGTTATAAGTTAAAAAAATTATTATAATATAACACATGTAAAATCACACAAGTAACAAGTGTCATACTAAAATATATAATAACATATATTTTTTTGTATAAAGTATTTCATTTTTCAACCACTTTTTTTATCATTAATTTTAAATTTTGAAAAAAAAAATTAGCAAATACCCGTGTAATACACGGGTGCTGCACTAATATATTTTACAACACATAAGTATTATTCTTTTATTGTCATTATTTTAAATCATTTTCAATATCCATATATAATATATTAGAATTAATACTACATAATTTATAAAAATAAATTTATATATAATAATATAATTTATTAACTAAAACATTAATAAAATATTAACCAAGATTGAAGTGCAATGTCGATTTTGAATCTAAAATGCATAACGTTAATATGTTATCTTCATTAAAAAAAAAAAAAATCTTTTTAAAATATATAGGGAACCAATATGTTATCTTCATTAAAAAAAATCTCTATGGGCGTGGATCCTTTAGGCTGTTAGGCCCGTACCCCGTTGGGGTGCTGACAGTTCGTGGTGAAGTCTCAGAGTGAATGTGGGGATACCTCCCGCCGTTAGAAATAAAAAATAAAAAAATGTTATCTTCATTAAAAAAGGAATTATATATATTCAATAAATATTAAATATAATGAAAAATATTAAAATAAGCTCAGTTCAGCGTGACTAGTACATTATGGCTCGAGCCTGAGGGCGGTCAGTAAACGAGCCAACCGAGCTTGCTAAGTAAGTTTTGATCATAGAGATATTCACAGAGGTTTTAGATTTTTATCTTGGCCCGGCTCTCTAAGGTTCTAGTCTGTCACGTTAAAGTTCAAGACCGTAATTATTATTGATAAACGAGCTGAGCTCAAGCTCGTTTATAGACTCGTTAACTCAACAAAGGTTCAAGCCCGAATCAAGCATAAGAAAGTTCTGATTAGTCTCTGTCTTGTGTACAATTGGCCTTGCATTACAGGATTAATGTAATAAATACGTTACAATTCACATCATCTTCACAATCATGATACATAATGTTTTATTATATTGTAAACTTGCGGCTCAGTTACTTATCCGGATAAGGTTTGTACTGTGTAGTACTTCGCTGTTTATCACAGTTTAATCACATGTTTCTCAAACTGATCGATGCCCGTCATTATCTATTATCACAACATATGCAATTAATTAATAAAATTTATTTATCAGACGTGTTAAACTAAACGAGTTGCTCGTAAGCTCGGTTTGACTCAACTCGTTCGATAAATGAGTCGAGTTGGTTAAAAGATCTGGTTGTTAACACCTTACGAAGAAACAAAAAATGTAACGAATGTACGAGTGCATAACATTTAGGCGGACTAACAATATAATTTGTGTTGGAAATAAGTTGTGTAGTTTAGAGCTACAACCAACTCAACGTGACCATTGATATTCTCAACCAGTAACCGAGTGTAGGGAGATGAAAATCAAAAGAACAATTTGCAGTTACACAACTGAGTAGCAAATGAACTAAACACAGTGCTTCTTGCATTTTCAGCTTTCACATACATACAAATGCAATTTAAGGCAAGATACAATTATCAGATTTCAGGTTACTTATTTCAAATCCAGATTAGAATGATAGCAAATGGCGATCAATCTGGCAAAATCTCAACCCTGTTTCTTCCCGGTCATGCCAGCGACTACCTACAATAGTTGAATCCAATGGTGTAAAGGAAAGAGATATTCTTTCAGAGAACAAAATGACCATTTTAGAAATCGGAAGCAATGGAAGGCTCCATATATGAGAACCTATATAACTCACTGTACTTCGTATGTGTTAGCCAACTTAATTCAGCACACCAAATTTCAAGAAGTGATTCCCTTTTTTCTTTGTTTTTTTCCTTTAAAAGCTGATATAATCTTTCTAGAGAAACAAGCAAAAGAACTCATTATCCACGACTAACAAGATGTTTAGGAGTCCAGGCATCAGCAGAATCTCAAGATAGTAATTGATAAACGATATAAAATAAGAGAAATGCAGGAAATTAAGCTTCCCTATTGCATGAAATTTAGCATCCATTCGCGCGCGCACACACACACATACATATGTATAGGGGAATCAAGCACGGTATAACTACGAAAAAGTGCATTCTAGTTAAAAGTTGACGGCACTTAAGAGTTAAAACAACACTTACATCGCCTAAAGCGGGTGGAGGTACTTCTTTTGATGATTCAAATGAATCCAGCATTGGCCTAACTACAGCGGGAAGGAACAGTCCTATAAATATCACAGAAAAAGTTCTGTCTTCAATATATAACCATATCAGATATAGATAAGAAGCATCAAAAGATAGGTTTTCGAGCATAGACTTTGCTTCCACAGACTAAAGGCTCAACTTTCCACAAAGCTTTTGTTTTAATGAGAAATTCCAAATCTTCCAACAATCTAAGGTAACAGATACAAACGAAAACTATCAGAAAAATATATGTACATAAAAATAAGAAAAAACGCACTTCCCCGGATTTTCCTTCTTCGTTCACCCTGATCGAAATTAGGGCAAAATAATGTGGACTGGACCAACTGATTTCAAAATTCAAATGCATCTGATTTATGAAGCAAAAAGCACATAACAAGATGTTCAATATCACTGCCAATCAAATTAAGGAATACAAATAAACAGTTCACAGAGCGTTCAATGAAAAATATCCAAAATCTTCCAACACTCTTAAGGTCCTCAGATTACGCATTTCTAGCAAAAGGGCATCAAATACAAACAAAATTAGGGCAATAGCAGTTCCCCATTTCCTTCTTAATTCACCTTAATCAAAATTAGGGCAAAGTAAATGTAGACAACATCAACCGATTACAAACCGAAAACAACTTATCTTCATCAACTACCCAAATGCGATAATCCGATGAAAAATTTCCATAAACATAACTAGATGTTCAATATCACAAGCAATCAAATTAAGGTATAGAGATACCGATCAACGCCGGCGATGAGGCAAGACGCGGAGACAACAGGCTCTTGGGCTACGAGCATTTTCAGCTTTTCCATCATCGGCGGCATCTTTTCCGGCTACTATACGGTTGAAGGGAGTTGTAAAGGTGGTTGTGGGCCGAGATAGATTTTGAAGTCTCACCAGAGCTGGACTTGGGATTATATCTGGGCTCTTTTTGAGTGGATCATTGAAATGGGCTAGTAGATCACGGGTTCAGTAAGCCCACTTCAGAAACTATTGAAGAATGTAACAAGAGCTCCTAATACTCGAGTTGGGACTCGTAAACAAAACGTGCTCAAGTTCGGGTCTTTTTTCAAAATAATGAGCCGAGTTATATAATATTACATAAAAATTACTATTTTGGGCTTTAACGAGCGGAACTTTGCTGAACTTGTAACTAAGCGAACTCAAATTCAACTAATTTATTTACCAAACGAGTCGAGCTGAGAGAAGTCCAACAACTACTTGTTTCATTTATTTGAAGTGTTCTCTCTCTTAGAGCTCTAGTTTTGTTTATAAAGTGTCATATTTTTACCGTAGTTATTTTGTTAGGTTGTCTCATGCACCATTGGTAGAATTTCGATAAGAACCCACATAAATAAAAATAAAATAAAATAAATTACAATAAAATAAAGGAAAAGAAAAATGAAACTTCGAAGGACAATATACAAACAAGTATCAACCATCTAACATTTACACAAACTTTTTTTCGGTATAATGAAAGAAGGTCATGGCCTTAGAAATGAAATAAGCTAGAACACGACGGGGGTAAGAAACCCCCACAAGATCATGCTGCAACCATGCTCCCAAGCTCGAGGGGGGAGACGAAATTCGGTGTAGCCCGACCGAGGAGGATGCTGCTACGCTCGCCAAATGATTTGCCGCAAATTAGCTTCTCGATGAACGTGTTGTAGTTTAACACTCCATTCCCGATCAAAAAGGCTTCGAATAGCCTGAATTAGTGTTGCATGGGTCCCTAGTCTAACCAACGGGCCACTAATCAACGGCGTTACACATTAGATGTCTACCTCTGCAATGACTAGTCGGAATCCCAAATCTCACGCCAAAAGCAATCCTTGTAGGATTCCCCAAAGCTCGGCACCTGTAATAGTACATTAGCCAATGTTCATAAGGAAGCTTTCCCTCCATCTACCAAACTCATCTCTAGTCAAACCGCCGGCGCTACTCAATCCGGTAGAGTTATTGAAGGCTCCATCCGTATTAATCTTGACCCATCCCGTGTCCGACGGGACCCACCTAATGAATCGGGTGATATATAAATTAGCCCCAACACGTGCGTAGGCATCTACCGCCCGACTGTAGGTTTTCGTGAAACGAGCAACTTCAGAGTACTTCGCGTCGCTGCTCAAAGCTTGATTATTGAAAATTCGATCATTATGCCACGTCCATAAGCGCCATATAACAAAAGAGAACATGTTACTCCAATTAGGAAGAGGTCCCAACTTCATTGTTACCATATTTCGTTGAACCCAAGGTTTGATAGGCAAGGAGGAAAACTCCTTTCACCTGGTCCAAAGGAATTAACCGCGGCCAAAACTTCCTGGCAGCCCGACAATCCCGTAGCACATGTAACATCGACTCGCACTCCCCACAAACGTCACAGTCTGCTGAGAAAGCGATATGGCGCCGAACCTGCTCCTCATTAGCCAACAATCGACCCTTCACGACGAGCCATGGAAAGGTTCGAACTCTTTGCGTGGCCGGTGCACGCCACACTAACTTCCAGAGTGGTTTATCGTGATCCTCAGCCGGTTGAAGTAGAGCTTTATAGGCTGACCGAGTGGAGAATTTTCCGTCCTAGGAGTAGCTCCAAACCATGCGGTCTTCTCCAGCTTCTACTCTTGGCGGGAGAAGCCCGTCGATTTGCAAAATCACCGACGAGGGAAGAAGACCATGGAACTCGTTCCATTTCCACCTTCCGAACTCATCCACAAACGCGGCCCCCTTTGCGGAGGTGTCTACGTCCGGCATTGGTTGGGCTAACAAATTAATCAACGGGCCTTCGGTACCCAGCCAAGGGTCGACCCAAAAGCGAGTCATCTCCCCTGTTACCCAGTATCCATCGCACTCAACAGCCCCGAGCCTTGTCTACGCTGCAAATTCTCGCCGATAGCCGCATGAGTTAGGCCATATTTAGCCACAAATGTATGTACCCACAATGAGTCTCTATTTGTCAGGATATCCCACCCTAACTTCATCAAAAAGGCGTTGCTCATGCGACGTAAATTTTTTATGCCCAGACCTCCAACTTCTTTAGGTTTGCACACCTCCGCCCATGAGACCAAGTGGACCTTGCGCTTATCATCCGATCCGCCCCATACAAAGTCCCGGCTTCTTCTCTCAAGATCGTCCTTAATGGAGCAGGGTAACATAGCAGTTTGCATGGAATAGAACGGAAGCGTACTCAAGACCGTGTAAGAGTCACTCTCCCAGCCAACGATAATGATTTCATTGCACGCTAAAACATAGCTGCTCTACACATATAAAAGAAAAACAAAAGCTACATTTCTTTTATTATTATTAATTTTTTTTTAAAAAAACTAAAGAAAACCAAAATCTAATGAAAAAGAAAACCTACAATTTACACATCCTTTATTGTTCACATACAAGACATGAGTTGATACTCAATACACACACTTCAATCAAACCATCCCTATGTAATATACGAGCTCCAAAAAAAAAGAAAGAAAGAAAGAAAGAAAGACCATAAATTTTCATTGGATTCGCCACCTCGTTAGCATTCAACCGATCGTCGACCCGAGCAACAAGCCAACACCGACGAGCCCCAATCCCAGAGCAAAAACAATTGCATATTTACCGACATCAAACACGGGTCGGGCCCTCTTGGCCCGTTTTCTGCTCCAACACTGGCCCCAGCTTCTTTTCCGCATTTTCTTATTTCCTACAGTAGCCCAATTAGGCAACCTCACTCGGGATATGGTGGGCCTGGCCCGACTTTTACTGTTCTTGAACTGAAAAAAATTATTCTCCAACTGCATAAGGCTAATCCACTGTTTGTAGGCAAATATCTGGGACGCCTGTCTTAGTACGAGCCTTACAACGTGCTCTTTTTCTGCACAGGCTCGTTTCATACCATCCTCGGCTTCCCTAGCTCGTGTCTGAGAATGACGCAATGCTTCTAGAAGCTGAGTCGTGTCGTGCTCGGGCGTTTTCTTGAGGGTTGGGCTGCACCTGATATATTAAGGCTACCGTTTTTTGAGTAACTGTGATAAAATTTATTTACGAGCAGTTTGTGTGTCTTAAGAAAATTGACTAAAACAACGAAGCTAAATCGGTAGCAAGTCCTGTTTCGATAAATTCAAGAAAAGAATGACCATAGAGATCAAATACAATGCTTCAAAGTTTAGTCATTTGCCACAAAATCTCTTTGTCATCTCGTAAAAGCTAACTAATCTCAAATTTTTTCAACTTAAGCAACCTGTTGAAAATTTAATTGAGATTTATTTAGTTACTTAGCTCAAATACAGAGAAGCAAACCACATGAAAAAAAAAAA